GTTTGTTCATCATTTTCTCTTTTGATTACTCACATTCATTTCTCAACCTTCCTCTAAATGTCTATGATAAGGCTGAACAATCCTGCCTCCATGGAAAAAAATAAGTAACAGCAGAAACACCATCACAAGAGCTCTCATCAGGACAAGGGCAGGCTATTATTCCTAAAGATAAAAAATGCTACCTCACCTAGACACTGTTTACCAGCCAGCCCACATGATTGTCGGAGGCTCTCCTTTCCTCTTCCTACTCAGACTTCCCTTGTGTGACTCTCACATGCCAAATAGCCTGGGTGCTTCAGTGTGATGAAGGGCTGGGGGGAGCAAAGGCTGTCACCGGGCTGCTGGTAAGAATGGTGAATAAGGAAAGAATGCCACAGCGCAGAATGCAAGGAGTGATGGAAATGAAGCACAGGGTGATTGGCCTGCTGACTGAACATCAACTCTGCCCCTCAGCTCAGGTAACTCTACTTGCCCTTCCCACCTTCACCTACCTACATAATCCACGAAAAATACCTATGGATCTGTGTTGTGTGTAGCTCTGTCCTATGATGTGTAGGCATGAGATAGACACTAACAAAGTTTTACAGTACCAGAAATGTAATGACAGAGTTAATCACTTGCAACGGAAAATGACAGTCTGAATCTCCAGAACAGTTCAAGAGGGCTGAGCTAACATATATAATTCATAAAACCACTCCAGCTGCACTACTCCTCTAGCCATAATCATGTCTTCCACAAAGAAGAAGGCAGTTCTACCTGATTGAGGAGATTCCTTGTTTCTAAGCTGTTTCCAGAACACTAAAATAAATATAAGAATTACAAAATCAGAAACAAAATTGAAATTTAACTCCTCTGTCATCACATGTGCTCTAAACAGCAAGCAGCAATTTACTGACTATGCAATGTAACAAAGTGTATAAATGTATACTGAAACAAGGAAATGAGTAATGATTTTATAACCTTCAATACTAAATTAGAAAAGCATACTCTGCTCACTTTCTATGGCAATTAGAAAATGAAATCTGCCTCATTTTTAGCTGTTGTGTTTCAGACATCAATCCCATGTCAGTTGCTGAAGTCCAAAAAAGAATCTCATCCTTCTCTTGCATGTGCTTTTTATAGTTCTGTTTCTACATTCACATAACCAACAAAACCACAGTCAAGAGACTTATGCAAAATCAGCAAAACCCAACATAATAACTAGGGAATCAGAGAAACACATGCATCACGGTTCATAAGACCAGCCATAATTCTGCCTTGTTCTAGGAAGCTCCTGTTAAACCTGTAACAGCCTTAATGATTGAAAACTACTGATACTTCAGAAAGCAAGTTGCAGTTCTCATTGTTTCACTTCTATACTTGTAACAGATTGCATTCTTTTTCAGACGAAGACATTGAGCGTCTTTGTATAAGTAGTCACCTATAAGGGCATGCAGTGACATGACAAGGGGGAATGGCTTTAAACTGCAAGAGGGTAAATTACAGATTAGGTATCAGGAAAAAAATTCTTCACTATGAGGGTGGTGAAATACTGGAACTGGTTGCCCAAAGAAGCTGTGGATGCTCCATCCCTGAAAGTGCTCAAGGCCAGGTTGGATGGGGCTTTGAGCAACCTGGTCTAGTGGATGGTATCCCTGCCCATTCTATGATCTCCACCTACACAGAAACTTTTAAGATACCACATGCAAAGAGAGATGAATGGCAATATCCAAGTGGAGATGCTATTAGGTTGTGCAGGATGGTACCAGTTATTAACCTTAAAAGCTGTTCTAGGAGGCAGACTACTCAGGTGAGTAGTTAAAACAAACCTAAGCTCTTGAAACCAAGACCTTAAAACGTGTCTTTATTACAAGAAAGGTTTTGGAGCTTCTTGCATACCATTAAAATACACCTTGCTCCTTCTTCCCACTATGCACAGGGTAAGGGCCACAGGTACAAGAAGATAAATAGGCCACTGACACCTAGAAAGTGTTGGTAGACTTATTAACAAATGGTATTAAGCTCACATGCAGAACCAGATCTTGCAATTATTTACACCAGATATTTTTATGTATGTACATGGCATAATGCTATGCAGTTTTATGAATATATGGATTGCCATATGAATAAAATTTAACATAGTCAAAGAGCATTTTTTATTATAAATCCAACTGCATCCATCTTCATTCACAAAAGTAATCAGATCTTCCTACCACAAATTTTGTTACATGGCCAATGAAGAACTTCTGTGATCCACTCAACAAAGCAAAGAAATGCAAACTTCTGGAAAGTGTCAGACATGAACTTTTAAAAAAAAATCTCTTTTCTGGAAAAAGTTAAACCCAAACAAAAATCATTAAATCTATTTCATTCCAGCAGTCCTATTTATACGACTGGCAAGCTTCATCAGCCTTGGAGTTCTGAAATTACCAGCCACAGATTTTTTTTAAAATCACTACATGCTCAGAGGTTCTACTAAGGCTTAATAAACTTTCTTACAGGTCTGGAGTACTATATAAATTTTGTGAGAGCTGTGCTGGCATAATTCGTAATACAAACTGTCTGGCTTCATGAAAGTTACAAGCTCTGGCTCCAGTCCTGCAAACACTTACTGAAGAATTTAACTTACTGCACAGAACTGACTACTCATGCATAAGTTAAGCGTATTTGTAAATATTTGTACAGTATGGACATCTGTTGGCACAGCCAGTCATCTGATACAAGATTCGCCTTTAAATCCTAGTCTGCAGAGAGTCAATATTTAAAAAAGGAATCCCTCATGTATAAATTCCGTCTTAGGCATTAAGCATATCAGACTCCAAAGGGTGGACTGAAAAGTTAAAACCAGAGGAAGGGTGGAATCACTGAAACATAACAATTGGTTCTGTTTATCATGTAACTAGAGAAGCCTAATTTATTATGGATACATGTCTCAAGACTGAGCTCTTGCCTTGTTTTCAAACTTTGCTGAACTAAGCTTTCGCTATACCTTTCCTTGAGAGGTGCCATTTATAACACTTCTCACATCATCACAGACATTTTCATAAAGCTCATAAAATTACTCCAAAGAGCTCCTCCTTTTTATCAGGTTTGGTTGAAATTAACACTCAAACGTTTTGGGTGAGGTAAGAAACAGGCACAATACAGAGATGACCCACAGATAATTGGAAGTTGCACTTCCTTCAGAAACGAAACTGAAAAAAAGTCCTCATGAAATGCCTCCTAGTGCCTTGGAGCTTGAGCACATCCTGTTTCACTCATTCTCTTCAACACAAAAACCTTGTGATCTGTGAACTGAAATTTTCAACGTGAAAAAAAGGCACAAATAAAAGGGAAAAGGCATCTTCCTAGTTATTCAGCACAAAGTGAGGGCAAGTAGGCCTACATCGTGTTTAAGGCCTTGTGTATACCGCATCTGCAGAACTGCCATGTGGAGGTCTGCTTCTTTAGACTATACAGAGGAAGAGCTTAGGAGCGCTCACTCTAGCTTAGGGCTTACAGTTTCCAAGGAACTTGTTTTAAAGCGGAGGCTTAGGGCATTAAACCATTTCCCCCCCCCCCCCCCCCCCCCCCCCCCCGCAAAGTAGGAACGGGCAAACGGGAAGGACGCAAAGTGGGCTACCACAGCAGCGAGATGATGGTGAGGCTCCCTCAGGGACCTCAGCAACGAGGCCTCTCTTCTGCAGCTCCTCTCCTCGGGGCTCACAACACTGTTTGCGAACTAGGAGCGAGCTGGCCTGTGGAAATAACTAATGACACACAAAAATAAGCCGCAGAGATGCACTGGGGGAAGCAGGGTCCATAGAGAGAACAAGGCAGGTATACTCTGCAGGGCCTTGTGCAAGGGCTGTGTCTCGAAACGTCCTTACCACTGTAGGGCTGGGGCTGGCTGCACGCAGCAGCTCAAGAGACCTGCCCCATCCCTCGGAGAGACGCATCCGTCTCCTGGCCGAGAGACCGCCCGGCCCCGCCGCGATGCGATATAGACGAGCACAGCCAGGGCCGGTCAGCGGGCGCTGCGGCAGAGCCTGTCCCTCCTCGGGGCCGCGCTGGGTTACCTGGTGCAATGACCACCCACTGGCCAGGGTGCGCGCCCGTGGGACGCTGCTTCGCGCCGTGCATGTTCCGTAAACGCCACCCGTCATCCGCAACCGCGCCGCCGCTCGCGCCCCAACATGGCGGCCGGGGCGGGGCCACATGGGGCGTGAGGGGAGAGGCGGGGAGAGAAGAAACTCCACGAGCCACCATTTCCTCAGCGGCTGCGCTTCCCGCGGCCTCTTGCGTGGCGGCGGACGGCACCACGCGGCGGGCGGGAGAGATGTGCGGGCAGCAGCAGGGCACTGAGATGCGGGCGATGCACTCTTTCGTCCTTTGTCGTCTCCCCCTCCCAAGTGGAGAGAATGGTACAAGCCATTGCGGGCAGTACAGAGAGCGACAAAGCTTCTCCTCATCAGCGGGGCTGTAGGGGAGCTGAGTGGGAGACGGGGGGGTTGCGGGCGGGTAACGCCGCGGAACGGTTTTCCGCCCCTCTCGGCCTAGGAGCGTACAGGCAGTGGGGCTGCTTTCCCACACGTCTTCCCCCTCACTCTGAGGGCTGGCAGGCAAAGGCTTTCTTTTAACCCTGACCCATCACAGTCTTGGGGGTGACCGTTTTGCAGTGGTCTGTGGAAGACGCTTGGGTGGCCATAGCTGAGCTGTGCCTGCCGCTGTTCCACCGCTGCCAACCCCTGGTAGGGAGCAGCATCTCTGCCGAAAGCTTTGTATAGAGGGGGTGTACCTTCGATGAAATGTGATGAGTTTGGACGTAAGGGCTGAAATGCAGGGTCACGGAGGTGGTGAATGGATTCCAACATCAGATGTGAGGGAGGACCGAAAGCTGGAGCTGTTCAGCCTGCAGAAGACTTGGGGGATCTTAATCCATGTACATAAATATCTCACAGGGGGCCTAAAGAGGATGGAGCCAAGCTCATAGTGGTTGTCCTGAATGATCACAGAGTCTCCATTAGTGGAGATAATAAAAACCTTACAGGACATCACCGTGAGCTCCCACTGTAGCTGGCACAGCCCTGAGCAGGGACCTAGACTAGACTCTCTCCAAGGGTGCCTGCCAGCCTCTGCCATTCTGTGGAACTTCGTCCTCCAAGGCCGGACGTGGGCAGTCCTCTCATGACACTCATCCTCCCCAGTACATATAATGTGATCCTGCTATAGTCTGGTCCTGTATCTTCAGCTTGCACCATGGAGCCATAGTCAAAATAGGATCCACACTTACATGTATTTTCATACACATGTACATATGTACATGCACTTCGTTTTATCAACAGAAGAATGAGTTGATGGCCACTGTCCCAGAGATTTAGGAGACAAATATCATATGTTATCAAAGGTATTAAAGTATATCTATCAATTGTAAATCTCAGAGATATGAAACAAATATTAAAAACATACTAACATCTATGCCCCAAACCAGAGCAGAACTATCCAAGGCCAACATATGCAAAACAGCTGAGTTGCTCTAAGGCTGAAAGAAATAATTTCCTGAAGTTTGAGCATATACATTCATAACTGAGATTACATTAATCTAAATTTGTTTTCTTTTAATTTAACTGATTTTTTCCCCTGCTTGAAGTAGGGCAATATCCAAGTGCCAAAGACCACACCACACCATGTATTTTGAAGAAGTCCATGCTGAAATCACTTGCTTTCAAAGTGATTGCAGTTTCCATTGCATATGCCTGGGTTGCAACATTCACTGATGACTCTTGTAAAACCCTTCTTAGTACTTTTGTTAGCAAAGAGAGAAAGAGGCTCCCAACTGTTCCACTGTAATCGTACAAGAGCACTGGAGGAGCAGAATAGAGCTGGTTGCTGTTGAAACTTTCCTAGAAGGAAAGCCTTCCATGTGGAGAAAAGGTTCTCCATAAATAACATTGATTTGGCCTTCAGTTCTGAAAATGACAATGAGATGCAGGCTGTTGTACACCACTGAGCTTAACAAAGCTCTGGAAAAGCTGGGAATCCAACTGTGCAAGCCTCCAGGTACAGTGTCTGTCACGGTCAAGTCTAGAGGCAAAATCTGCAGTTGTTCCAGACATCCATTTCCTACCTGACTGTGGTGAGTGATGGAAATGTTCTAGCAAACATTGCTGTACATATACAAAACTGACTTATTTAGCTCACATTTCTCAAAGCACCAATCTGGCCTTATTTAAGCACCTGATAAGCTAATTTTCAGAGGTACCAAGTACTTCTGACACCAGTTGAACTGAATGGACATTCCAGCTGTTTTTTTCTTTTAATTTATGAGCATCTCTCACAATCTCCAGATGCATATTGGCCCTGGGATCTATAATGTCCCTTTCCAGGGACATTCCCAAAGAGAAATTCTCAAATGGGCCCGAATAAGGATTTAGAATGACATCAGTTTTGGAATAAAAATAGTGCAGTAATTTATACATATTAAATATTTAAAGCTTTCTGTTGTTACTCATGCACATTTGAGATATACTATCTGTCTTTATAAACAGAGGACATACTGTATCATTATAAACAGAAGATACACTAATTAGGGATTTCTGTCAGGAGCTGATGATGCTAAAACATTATTTGCTGAAGAATTAAATAGTTTCCCTTCAGGCTTGCCAACACTTTTAAACCTTAGTGATATCTCCCAGAAGGAAAATGCTGACTTTTAAAACACTAGACTGATCTGAACTGCTGTGGTGATATCATTGTAAATACTCAAATCTTAATTTTACACACCATGGGTATTGTCATTTGGGTACATATGACTCATCCAGAAAGCTAAATGCATGCAATATGGGACTGCATCCTATCTTAGGACAATCAGTTTACACATTTCGGAGCCATGTGATGTGCACTCAGACTTCACCTGCATGCTGTCCATTCATTCATTTCTTCTGGGGCTGCTTCTCATAATCCAAATGGCTGTACAAATGCAAGCATCCCTTTTTGCCAAGCAAAAATTACTGGCTTTCTGCTGCCAAAGAAACACTACCTTTGTCTACCTTCAGCTGTGGAATTTACCGTTTCCTCCTCCCCAGCACAAGTAGGGATGTACTTAAATGCACAAGTTGCGTTTAAGTGAAGTAACTCTTTAATCTTGCTTGGAGCAAGAAATGGAACAATGTTTAGAAAGAAGTGTGGTTCATTGTTAAGTCAAGGTTGAAATTTGAAAGACAAAAATGTTTCCACTTACAATTATGTTTCATTTTACACTGTTTCAACAAACAAATTATATTTATGGGCCAAGTTTATCTATTTTACGCTTCAGTGGTTAAAACATTTACATGCATAACATTAAATCCATTGATCTGCACATTTAAGGGTCAGCTGTATGTATGCAAGTGTTAAATTTCATCCCAGGCTTATTGATACATGTAACTTTAGCTGACGTTCAAGGATAATTATGATTCATTTAAAGTGATTTAGCTTCAAATACTGCTCTCTGTTCATCACAGGTCAAGTTATTGTTTTGTTTGGTTTTATTCAAAATAAAAGCTGTATGGCATTGAAACAAATCACAAATATTTTCTTCAGTCTTTCTTTTCCACTTATTTTTCTTCTCGTTAGACAAGAATCACATCCTTATGATTAATGGTGGATACACAGAAATAAAGGAAAATAAGATAAACATGAAAACTGGAAAGCCTAATAAAAATGTATAAGGAAACATGAATCATGCTTCATTATATATTAAAATAAGCTCATTTAAATGACAAATAGTGTATTCTTAGTATACTTTAACCAAACATAAACCGATGATGAAGTATCTGTACTCTGACCCACCGAAGCAAATCATAGTTCTTCTTCATTGTGTGACCAAAAATACTCCATGAATGAAATGCAACATCACTTCAAGTAACTGGATAATCTTGTCACACGAGCCTTGGTACTGTCTTATTCTATGGCAGGAAAGATTCCATTTTGTTACATGAAACACAAGTGCTGGCACATAAGAGGGAATAGGTCCACATGAGCAGTCATCTTGTTCTCCAGAACAGGTTTGCTTGCCTCACAAAGTGGTTTCCCAATCTCACTTTTTTCAATTCACAAATACCTAACAACTGGTTAATCCCTATATTTAAATCATAGTGACCTTAAAAGTTCTGCTGTGACTCAAAAGGACACATGGAGGCCTAATATGGAGATAGCATTGACCAGAAAGAACACATACAGGCAAACATACAAACCCACATACAAACTTATAAAAGAACTCTCAAAACCATGTTTGAATTTCTAACTGTAATTCCAAGTCAATTTTTCAAGCAGAAAAATAATTATTTGAAATAGTTCTTCATTGCAGTATTCCATTTTAAGGAAAATAACAGTATTCATTTAAAAACATTCAAGCAATGATGAAAAAGACTCTGAACAGAAATCACTTTGTCCTTTGAACTCTAACAAAGTTGTATCACACCTATTGGTGACAATTATCAGGTTTTGCCTTAACAGAAATAACCTACTGGGTTCCAAAGTTTGCCTGTGTGTCAGGTCAAATAGGAGTAAGACAAAGAAAAGGAAAGAAAACAGAATTAGATGGGGAAATGTGGGTACGCCCACAGAAACCAAGAGATTCATACTGTGTATTTTTGTATTTTATCTAGCTTCAAGCTGATTGTTTAGGGTCAATGGAGAGAAACAGAGTAATAGTTGTCTGACCTGCTTTGTAAGTTTATCTCAAGAGTTAGCCCATCTATCTAGATGTAGATAGCCAAACTGCAGATCCCTTTTTTCTGTACAGGGACAGGCCTCAGTTTTCATACAGCTGTTATCATTACCTCTTACTTTTTCACCCCATCTTTCATGCATCCATCACACCCAAAGGATAGATGAAGACTTTATTGTGGGGTTAGCACAAGCGGGTATTTATTGACCCAAGTATGCTGGATCTCCTACTTTTCTTTCAGAGCACCTAAGAACTATTATTTTTCCTCTGTTTAATCAACCAGAAAATTTGCTATTTGGAGGTGTGTTGCTATAGCAAGCAGAACTTGGTCTGTTTATAGAAGCTGCTGAGAATGATGTATACTGTTTGGAGAAAAGAGTTGAATGAGTACACGGATTGTGAGCTGGCTTGAAGTGAACAGTAGCAACACTTGTTTAATGTGCATGATACATTCATCCACAGCAATAAGTTACTGCAAAATACCCTCCAGATTATGACTCAGAAACTGGCAAAAAAAAAAAAAAAAAAAGCGTTAAAATATTAAAAAGCCCACCAAATATATGGAGACTTTTCTGAACATTTTCAGTTTAGAAGCTCTTGCATCAGAAGTATTATAGTGGCCATATTAACCCTGCCTGCCTGTACTGTGGATTTCAATGAACTTCCCAGCCCTATCAGGACATTCTCAGAAAATAAGTGTTCACTTGAAAAGCAGAGCATGGAAAAAAACCCCTCTGCAAACAAAATGTCCAGGTTGGTGAGAATCATAAAATCAGCTAGGTTGGAAAAGACCTTTAAGATCATCAAGTCCACCCTTTACCCTAGTTCTGCCAAATCCACCACTAAACTATGTCACTGAGGGCCTCATCTACATGGTTTTTGAACACTTTCACGGATGGTGATTCCACCACTTTCCTAGGCAGCCTGTTCCAATGCCTGCCACCCTCTCAGTGAAGAAATTTTCCCTAATATTCAGTCTAAACCTTCGCTGAAGCAGCTTGAGGCCGTTACCTCTTGTCCTATCACTTGTTACTTGGGAAAAGAGATCAGCCACGTCCTCTCTTCATTCTCCTTTCAGATATTTGTAAAGAGTGTAAGGTCCAAGAAAGAAGACAGCACTTGAGTTTGAACACTACAGTGAATCTCATAAGTGCCATGTGATGGTATTATTACTATAATAATCCAATAGTACTTTGGTAGTCTTGATGCTGCATTTTCCTTCCACATTATCAATAGTTAGAAATGTAGTATCCATATGATAAAAAAACAATAAACAATACCCTTTTATCACAGTTAATACATGTGGATACATATACATAAATATCTATGTACACAGACACAACTCTTTAAAATATATATATAAAAATTTTCCATATAAAATATGTACGTCTGGTTCTGTGTGTCCTTGTCTGTTTGTGTATATGTATATCTATATCTATATGTGTATATGTATATAGGTATTATTCTGTGCACCAAAATGTTACAGAATGTGTCATTTTACTGTATCTGAGGCTTTGTCCCTATGATATTGAGGAATAGAAGCCTAGATTTCTCAGACAAATCAGTACTATTTATCCTAGAATGCTATCTATATAGTTGAGAAAATGTCTCTTCTTCTCCCCATTCATCTTTAAACAGCTATAATTCCCTTTGATGTTCTATGTTCCCATTTTTCCTCTTTTAGGAATTCTCTCTGAAAAAACGCTATGTGTTTAATGGTTTCATTTTTGCCTATTTTTTTTCTCCCTGCTTTTTACTAACAGCAGTCTGTTACTAAAGCAACGTGCATAATCTGAATATCCAGCAATAACTAAGACAATGTTCCATGAACAAAAATCGTTACAAAAGTCCATCATGGTTAATTCTGAAACTTAAAAAGTTAACATCTGCTTTCAGTCATCCAAGCGTAAACCAACAGACTTATCCTCTTGCAGAAAACCCTCCAGGTGGGATCTCAAAGAACAGAACTGTTTATAGTGCTGTCTGGGTTCAGAAAATGGGCTCAGTTTCTTTCCTAGCAAATACTGCGTGCCAAGATGCCAAGACTGTTGCCAAAGATAGTCATTCATATGCTTCAAACTCAGACTTGGTCCCTACCAGACCCATTGAATTTCTGTCACTGGAGGTGGCATAACAGTCCTTTAAATCAGGTAGAATGTCCTCTACCATGTATAGAATGGGATAGGGAACTAACAGCAACATAAAAACAATTATAGAACTTCTGAGTGGTGTTTATAGACCAATCTCCTGAGGAAATAGGTCTTGGGGGAGCATATTATGTGGATGTATGCATGTCTGTGTCCTCCCTCAATAAGAGGGCACTGACTTCAGCCACCTTTGATGCAAATTCATGTTTTTGCCCAACAGCTCTCTAAAATCCATGGCATTTGTTTACTGCAGGCTTGGCTTTGTGGCAGTGGGAACACCTGACCACCCACTTCTGGTCCAGCAGGGCACTCATCTCCCTTACATTTTTTGTCGTACCTTCTAGCCCCATATGCATGTGTCAGATATCTTAAGGTATCTTAGATGGCATTAGTGATCTTTCTGGGGGAGAAGAGGATTGTGAGATGAAGAAACATAAATTCTAAATGACTTAGCCATGAGTATTTTGACGGTCAGGCCCCAAAAGTCAGTGGAATATCAACATTATAGACAAGATTTCTCTCACCTAAGACTTCTATCAAACTGAGTGTGAATATTCCTGAAAGCTTCCCTGCTATGAATGATAGCATTCATAAAATGGCTAGCATGTGCATGGATTAGCTGATGTCTAATAAGATATGACTGTTCCCAGTATGAACAGGGCCACCCTGTTTTGGGGAAAGAGTAGTGTCAGCATCATGCTTCTTTCCTGGGCACCATGAAAGGCAGCCTGGTCTGATTTATCTACTGGTACAGACACAGCCATGCTCCAGTATATCTCACAATGTGGCGAGAATTTTTGCCAAATAGGTCTACTGCAAGCAAACACAAGAGGTCAATATTTAAATAAATCTTATAATGCATTCTTATTTCTAGGAGTTGTGGGTAAAGATTGCACAGAGATGACCAGTTCAGGCACTGTGAGCCTGACATTTCTGGAAGTATATGGCTTATTGCACCTGCAGAAAAACTGTACTGTATGTTTGCATCTGTAATGTGTGCAAATAGACTAACAACTGCAGGGGAGTGCAGGTACTGGTTAATGCATGCTGGCTATGTAACCAAAGCTGACAGCCCAGGCAGAACAATTGCCATAGCTCTAAACGGACATCCAGACATGCAGAAATCCTTGAAAATTGAACATGTTTATCTTTTTCTGGCAACACAAAATTTTGAGGTGGAAAAAGAAGCCTCTTCTGTGGAAATATGCAGATATACTTAACTCTTTTTATACCTAGGACTTTTTTACACCTAAGACTAAGATTTTCAGTTGCTTCTGAGTTAATGCGTTCAGCTCCCATACCATATAAAGCTTTTTATTTCACAACGGTTTTTCATTTATCTTTTAAAAGTCTTCTGAATTCATATGCAAAATGAATCTTGCTGGGAATTAGGTATTTGGTGAATTCTTAGCTTGTTGCACATCTTAATCATGTTGAAACTAGATGTATTCTAGGGTTACTTTTAAATCAGACTGAAAATCAGAATTCTCAATTGAATTGTATATTGGCTTATGAAGTGTTGTGTCTTCACTAATGCAAGTAACTCCATTATTCTGTGAGCACTGCAAGGAGATTATATTATTAATGTACATAAAAATTGATTTCAGCCAAGAATGTTCTCAAGGGAAATTCTAGAAGGCAAAGGGTCCTTCTTATCTGGAACATCATTAGCAGTATTTTGTGACCTTCAAAGCAGATCATTAGAAAAATGACTTGTTAAGGTATATGTACCATTCATAGCTTTATTGAAACAAAGGGCCTGTGTGAGATGCTATATCAAAGATTCTGTACAGACCAGGAAGTGCTGTCTTTGACATAACCCTTATCAAGAACGTCATACCAGAAATGAAGAATTGGCAATAAAATATCCCCTGTACTAGATTTGGGAAGCAACCAAACTGATTACAGAGAAAGACTATAAATTGATTTAAAATGTGAAAGGGTAGCATCAAACTTAAAGACTGCTGTACTTATTCCATATCTTTAGAAGTGACTGGCTGAAGAATGACTTGCCTATAGTCTGAAACAGACTTTTTATCATCTGTCTGCTGGATGGAACAATACAAGCATGTTTCATTTATTTAGGAAATGGCCAGAGTCCAAAGAAAGATTAAAAATGTAAGCAAGAGTCAGTGCAATGGTTGTTCCTGTAATAGTTAGGCATTTGGACTGCAATACCAGCAAATACTGCCACAAAAGATATATTCCTACAACACAGAATTTTCATTTGATTCCTTGAAAAGCAATCGGTGTGTTAAGGACAGGCTTACCCATTACTCCAGCAGTTGAATTTGGAATGCATTTGGCAAGAGTAAACAAAAGCAATCAGCATACTTGAATAAGTTGTTTTGTGAGCAGCAGAACTAATGAATGCAAACAAATTCTAAAAGGGACAAATTGTTTCTTATTGATTTCTATCTTTGTTCTTCAGCCTCCCGAATCATAACTCCAGCTCCCCTGCCCAGGTCCTCCGCACCATTTCAACCAGCTGAGATTCATTGTATACTGTAGCATATGTAGAGCTGTGGGTTTACTGGTTGGGCCCCTAGCCACAGCCAGACAGACCATGCAATAGCTGAGCTCCATGTGTCTCTCAGTGAGGACAAATTGTCCGAGGACCTCTATCCTCCAGAAGATCTTCGTTGATGTATACATGCCTAAGATGGGATCAAGCCTGCCTAAGTGAGGGACCTAGCTTGATCTTAAATTCAAGAAAGCTACAGAGCCAGGCTTTTTTCAGTGTTTCTGCCCCTACCAAAAGCAACAGAAGATCATCACTGCCTTTCTGTAACTAGGCATCTGAATTTCACAGACAAGGTCTGCCTTCAGAGATATGCAAAGGCATTTACCTGTCTCCACTGACTGTGGAGGGAAACTTTTCTCTAGGAGGACTACTTCTCCAGTTCCCTGAAACATTTGTTCAAGTTAAGAACCTTAGACAAGATTCCAGTCTGAGCCCTACTCTTTCTAATCTGATTGAAACTGGCCATGGAAGTTAGGAGAGGAGGACAGACAGATTGCCCCATTGCAGGAATTATGGGAAACCAGGCTAAAAGCAATAGCAATTAGGAAACGTGTATTTAATATAGTGATTTATCTGCTTTAATATTGCTATAGATAATGTAGAAAAATACGGCAAAGAATACAACTTTTCATTTAGTACCATTAAAATGTTTTATGGATAGATGAACACCAGTCCAAAACTTGTGTATACTTGGAACAATTTAATTCAAGAAACATAGGAGAGTTCAGTCTAGGATTTAAGGTCAGGGAATTGATTCTTCTATGTACATCATAAATGAGTTGAACGGAAGACTAAAACCTTTCGAACACAAACTTCTGTAGAAAAGCCATATCTTTACCAGTCAAACTCAGGTTTAATAATATTTCTGAGTCTTCTGAATGTACCCAGACTCATGTGTAATACGATTCCTTAAACTCATGTTTTAAATTTTTCCTTGAAATGCAGGTTCAGCAGAGACCCATTGTTTTGTGATTTAACTTCACTCAACTGTTTTGAAACACATACAGCTCATTGCACAAAGAGAGAAGGAAGACAGCTAGTTCAAAAGGACAGTAACAGAACTTGAAATAAGTCAGTTTGAATAAAATAAGAAACAGGCTGAGCCTGTGTCATAATCTGACTGATTGCAAGCTGAAATCTTTTCATATTTGGGTAACAAAGAATGCACTATGAAATTTAGTTTTGTGCCTTCCTGCTCTGTTGGGGTGACACTGGAATAAGGATGCACTCTGATAGCACTTCCACTTGTGTGCTAATCCAATGACCAAAAAGCAGTGAATGTGACTGGGTAGTGGATGAAGTCTCACAGGATGCCCATTTTGAGAACAGTTGCAGAGGAAAAAGTGAGCTGTTTGGGAGTGAGTGTACCTAGTTTTCTTCTGTGAATGTCTGAAGGCTTTACTGTATGACCCAGAAATTCACAATATGGACTGCTTGTCTGCTTGTCCACCCTTGCTCAGGTTGGTTTGTTTGTTTTAGTTTGGGTTTGTTTGTTTTTGCTAGGATATGCATTTGTGAAAAGTGCTAATGAAATCTCTAATCACAGAGGCTGGCTTTGTCTCCAAGACAGCATGTGAAGCAGTGACATTGGCACAATGAATAGCAGCTCTCCCTGCTACAAAGAACCAACCTCCTTTCAGATGGCAAGTTGCGGATTTCCTTTATAAAATCACAGAATCATTAGATTTGGAAGTGACCTCTAGAGATCAGCGAGTGCAACCTCCCTGCCAATGCAGTGCCACCTAGGGCAGGTGACACAGGAGTGGTACAGGAGCACCACATCCAGGCAGGTTTCTAATGTCTCCAGAGAGCGAGACTCCACAACCCCCTGGGGAGCTCTGTCACTCTCAATGTAAAGAAGTTCTTCCTCATGTTCATGCCATTCCTTCAGCTTCTTCCAGTCACATGCAGTGAGACTGCTTCTTCTCTTCTCCAGTGTACAAATACAGAGTCTTCCATGGTCTGGCTGTAGACCCATCTTCAGTCACATTTCTCTTCACAGAGATGAAATAAGACTTTCCAAGTCAGTTTAGCTTAAGCAGCAGAATGCTTAGGGAACTATCCTGGACCCAGAGAGAGGTATTTCCACTGAGATAGTAGAGATACTGAAGTACTAAACCCATTATCTGAATGTTGCTGAAAAGGAAGAAAACCTAAGTAATATGGAAAACATCCTTGGTTTATTTGTGCAATGTATCATTTGTGAATTATTTAGATCACATCAACAGCAGTATCCATCCTAAGGAGGATGTCTTAGTTCTGCCTCACAGGATTTCCACATTCAGTGCACCTAGCAGTGGAGTGGTAAACAAAAGTTAACACCTTTTTCCTTGTTAAACTAAGACTTTTATGCGCTACTTTTAAGTGGTTTAATGTGGAAATCCTGAGGGGCACAGTTCAAAAGAAGGAAAAAGCAATTGGAAATTAAACCACAAGAAGCAAGGGGGACATAGGCAAAGTAGGCTAAAAAGATACAGAAAGAAAAAGAGAAGTGAAGTATGTCTAGTGAGGGAGAAAGTTACTGCAAAGAACACTAAAAAATTCCTATCTGTGGGACTGTCTCAGTGGCTCAGAAGGAAGCAGCTGTACCCAGCAGAGACCCAGATTTGTCAGACACCCTGGGGGTCTCTTGCCAGAAACTGGACCCAACTTTCAAATGCCAAGGAGAACAGGGTTAGAAACAAAGAGACCTTTTTGCCTTAAATAAAAGCCTTCAAAGGACTGTCCTCCTTTCTCCTTCTTACTGTATGAAAAATAGCAAACTTTAGCAATGGCTGTTAGTCCCCATTGTCAAGGACTTGGTTATAATGCAGCTTGGACAGCCAGAGTGGATGAGGCCAAAGGGTGATACAAATGGAATGACTTGTTTTGGGTTGTGTTTCGGTTTTCAGTTTTTATTAGAAAATAACTCTTTATTTTAGGTCTCTACTTAAGCTTTTTGCTTAGCCTAGATATAAAACAGTTTGGCTCCATCCTAACTGGCCAGCCATACTGTGTTATAAGGTCAGGCCATAAACATATTTAACAACTGTTGTTAATTAAATAGTTATTGTAGTATAGATGGGGTCAAACAAAGGGTATGGGTGGGAGGGGACGGGAAGAGAGGGCCTAAGTGGCAAAAGGTGGGGGGAATCTTGGCTTCTGACTTAGAAGGCGTGAACAAGCAAGAACTCTGTGGAAAAGACCTCTGGGACATGAAAATAACAGTTAACATTTCAAATTTTGGTGCAAATATGAAGCGATTAATAGCAAAAGACAGCTTGTGTTCCCTCACTCATACTTTGCTATGCTCTGAAACCATCATGGTAAGCAAGACTTGGCTTTCCTCAAGAAGAAATCCTCTATCTGCCTCCATCAGTGGTATCGTTTTAACAGCAGCACTTCATTGACATATTAATGACTCCCTATGCCAGGATGTTGTACAAATTCCAGCTAGTTAAAAGAGTTGCTGGAGATTTACAGAAGAGCAACAGAGAAAAAAAAAAAAAATTGATTACATTTAATTTCAATACTCAGAAATGTGCTTTCCTTGTCATAAAAGTGGAACCCTCCCTGTGTGCCTGCAGCCTGCCTTGCATACTGATTTTGTGTGTGCCTAGCTAAACCAATGCCTGTGATATGATCTGATTTTGACTCTACAGAGAAAGGCAGGAGGAGCAAAATTTATGTTTCAGGTCTGTAAGGCATTTTAAAGTTAATCGGGTCCTTTGGGTCTGATATAATTTGCGTAAGATTGCTGTTGATGATTAGAATAGCTATTTAAGATTTTTGTTAATACTCTGTTACATGGACCCAGTGGAAAAATTCCAATAGCAGTCTGTTAGTTTTTCCCTGTCACATTCAGGTTACAGGCCCTTCACAGATGTTGTAAGTAGACATCAATACTAAAAGGGAATATTACACAAATTAAAATCATACGTGTGCTCAAACTGCCAACACAGACGTTTTGTTAAAAACATCTGTCACACAAAAGCAAACATTTAAGGCCATTACATTTATAACAATTGTTTTCATTTTTAATATGTACTACATATTTTTCTTTTCTTCTGTTACTCTGAATATTTTTTCTTAGACTTTAATACTTATTTTTCCCAACACTGCTTATGTTCTTGACCATATAAACAATAATGTGGACTTTTAATGAAAATAAACAAGTCTCAGTGGTTGGAAATCTAGTAGATACTTGCACAATGAATGAGTCAACTGAGAATCCAACACTGTGTTCTCAAAAAATATAGAGGTATCAGATATTATAAAGACAAGTATTAAGCTGGATGTCTGTTCAATTATATCCAGTTATTTAATTCTGTTTTGAAATAAATTTCTCAGGTAGAAAGGATAAATCACATGTAAATGTCCTGTTCTGGGCCTCTTTGTTGCATACTGCTGATGCAGCTGTTTTAGTCATTCTAGTATTCACCATGGCACCCCCAAAGAGAGCATTAGCGCCCTCCAAAACTAGAAACCTCTAGGGTGCTTTCTTCCTGGCACACCTACTGCACTGATACAATCCATCTCTTCCTTCTCCCCTTCCACTGCTGTTTCAGGGTACAGAGGTATCCCTCTGATATTTCTTAGCCCAAGGAGCTCTAGGCTTTTTACCAGTGTTGACCTCTTAGGCTGTTTCTATCACAAAGTAAAAGAGAGTTAGGAACCACCAATGCCACCATTTTCCCTCCTTACAGCTCTTCTCTCTCAGAGGTTTTCTTTGGGGAGAGCTGTTTGGAGCTAAGGCAGGAATGGAGCTAACAGTGAAGAAATGGGGACAACTGCTCAAGCTCACATCCTTCCCTCCTGCCATTAGTAGCAACCCATATTAACACTTCCTAACAGCTCAAATATGTCATAAGATTATATAAATTCAATGAATTGTCACAATCAGAAAGGCTTTGCTGCTCATAAATCAACAGTCTTGGTCTGGTTGAAAGCAATGCTTGCTGTTTTCTGTAATATCTGTTTTCTGAAAACCACTTAAATATATGATCAGCTGTAATATATGATTAGTTTTTCCATAAGTCAATGAGATATTTATGTAAGGCTTCCACATAATCAGACACAGCTGAAGAACAGTGGCAGTATCTTGAGATGTCGGCATGGAGGATGTGCTGGACCCTTTATGAATATAAATAGAGACACAGCCTGTGGCCTGGAGAATTGTTGAACCAAGTCAGACTCCCACAGAAAACCAATGAAAAACATAAATACTGGCTTCTGGTTAAACTCAAGAATGGAGCACACCTCATGAAGAGATTAAAAAGATGCTCTGTTGTGTAGGACTGAATAAGCAAGGCCCATAATATCATAGAAAAATCACTTGGAAGAAATGCCTGGAAGTCACCTGGTCATCCAGTCCAACCTCTCCCTCAAATCAGGTGTGCCACCAGTGCTAGAGCAACCTTCAGTCTGAAGGAATACTGTGATTTTTTTTTCATTGCTATGCATGACAGGGTATCTGTATTAAAATCTTATGTACAGCTTCTCCAGAATTATCCTGCATGTCAGGATAAGGCCCAGGTGACTCAAGCAAGGTACTATACTTTGAAAAACGTGATTATTAGGATCAGAGTAAAGCCAAAACCAGAAGTCACTGGGCTTCACTAAGTTGCTGAAACACAGTCAAGTGTCATTTTAGACATTAAAGGGCATCCCTGTAGCATCCCATAGCTGCTGCAGCAGGGTTCTGGTTTGCCGTAAGTCCCATCATAACTGTCATATCTGCCAGCCCTGTATAGATGCCTCGTTATGGTAGCAGAGATTTCAACTAGATACCTATGTTTGGGCACCTGAATGAGCTCCATTGACTGTACTAAAGAAGTTTCAGCTGATTACAACAGGAGCTTATACAGCATGGTCACAGTTAAATACCTGCATACAGACACCCATAGGAGCCAAATCCTACCTTAAGTGTCAAGATAAGAGGTTTCCAGAAGAAAATTAGTTTTGAACACTATTTTAAAGAACAATATGCCTATCTTTACGGCAGAGATACATATCCCATACCCTTAATGTTTCAAGCAAAACAGTAAGGAGGCCATGCTGTATAAGCCTGGGCTCTTCATCTATGCAGTAAACCAGCCTTACTCAGGCTAAAGCTTCATAATTTAAGTTTCT